ATACTCTGGCACTGCTGGGGATAGTCTGGACTGGCATAATGGATTCAAATTCACTACAAGAGATAATGATAATGATGACTACAATGGAGGTAACTGTGCTTATTTCCGCACTGGTGCCTGGTGGTATAATGCCTGCATTACTTCAAATCTTAACGGTCGTTATTTTAATACTTCATTTTATACTGAACAAGGAATTAACTGGTGGGGTTGGCAATACAATACTCTACAGTTCTCAGAGATGAAAACTCGTCGTAACAATTAAATACTGTCTCCCACATACATAAGTGTGTTTACATTGTGCTGATATATTATTATGCCATTTCAATATTACAGTCTGTCATACCTTGTAGTGATTATACATGTATTTATGATATTATTGCTTTATTAATTGACAACTGCAATAATTAATAGTGTGTGGGTGGGTAACAGGAATTACTATACTATGGTATAATTTTTGCTAGTACAATTGGCATATACTTAATAGCTATACCACGAGGTGATAACAAAAATTATTCTAAAAATGATGTAATTGAACTAAATAACATGTCACTATACAAACACAATCATCCCAATATGTCAAATATGACTACTGCTATCATGCCAAAAAATAAATAAACATTTCCTATTGCATATTTACCAACACTTTCCGTCAGTGCTATCTAAGGCTATCAATTGGACTCTCTATCTCATTTTCAAAATCAATTCAAACCAACAGCAACACTCCAGTCCATACTAGCTAGCTATAATGGATCATGGGTCATTGTTCTTCTTACTGTTAGTGCTGCTGACAGTTCCTACTGAAGGATCTTATTGTATGACTGCTGACTGTCCTAATACTGGATCAGGTGGACTATCACTGTATCTAAGTGCATGCTGTGTTGTTAGTAACTTAGGACAGTCTGTTACTATCAGTGAATCTGGTATTAATAAATATATTCTATGTCCTAAAGTACGACCAAAGTCATGCCCAGGTATATACTGCAATGTATGACTGGAATAGTTAGTTATTACACTTATTGTGCAGATATCAGTGACTGTAAGAGCTTGTTTGAGGATGGTAATAATGCAAGTGATATTTATACTATCAGTCCTGATGGAGGAACTCCATTTGAAGTTAGTTAAAGCAATCCTTCATCATTTATAATGATACACTATATTGCATCACAGGTATACTGTGATATGGAGACTGATGGTGGTGGATGGGCTGTATTTCAGAGAAGAGAAGATGGATCTGTTGATTTCTATAGATACTGGGCCGACTACATGAATGGATTTGGTAACCTTACTGGTGAGTTTTGGCTAGGATTGAGCAAGATTCACCGCCTTACTAAAGAAAGATCAAACACACTAAAAGTGGAGCTACAAGAATTTAATAATAATATTACAATCTATGCCGAGTTCTCTAGATTCAACATTGGCGATAACAGTACTGAATATACACTATCAGTAGGAGGATATTCTGGTACTGCACAAAATAGCATGTATCTTCATGATGGAATGAGATTCAGTACAAGAGATGACGATAATGATCTTGGTCCAGATTACAGCTGTGCTATTGGTCACACTGGTGCCTGGTGGTACCGAGGTTGCCATGTTGCATGTCTTAATGGTCAATATTTTCAGACTCCAGTTAATAATGCTAATGGAATCGTTTGGTATGAGTATAACAAAAATTACGTTGTTTTTGAGTTCTCAGAGATGAAAGTTCGCCGTAACAATTAAATACTGTCCCCCACACACATAAGTGTTTTTACATTGTGCTGATATATTATTATGTCATTTCAATATTACAGTCTGTCATACCTTGTAGTGATTATATATGTATTGACTATTTTTGCTTTATTAATTGACAAATACAATAATTAATAGTGTGTGGGTGGGTAACAGGAACAGTATAATTTTGCTATATTGCTATATTCCAAGGTGATAACAAAAATTATGATGTAATGGAACTAAATAACATGTCACTATAGAAACACAATTAGCCCAGGCATCAAATATGGCTACTACTATCATGTCAAAAAATAAATAAATGTTTCCTATTTCATATTTACCATCTAAGGCTATCAGTTGGACTCTTCATCTTATTTTCAAGATCATCTCAAACAAACAGTAGCACTCCAGTCCATACTAGCTAGCAACAATGGATCATGGGTCATTGTTCTTCTTACTGTTAGTGCTACTGACAGTTCCTACTGAAGGATCTCATTGTATGACTACTGGCTGTAGATCAGGTGGACTATCACTGTATCTAAGAGTATGCTGTGTTGTTAGTAACTTAGGACAGTCTGTTTCTATGAGAGGATCTGGTACTTATAGACATTTGCATATTATCTGTCCTAAAGTACGGCCAAAGTCATGCCCAGGTATATACTGCACTGTATGACTGAAATAGTTGGTTATTACACTTATTGTGTAGATATCAGTGACTGTAAGAGCTTGTTTGAGGATGGTAAAAATGTGAGTGGTGTTTATACTGTTAATCCTGATGGGGCTCCATTTGAAGTTAGTTAAATCCTTAGTTCTTCATTTATAATGATACACTATATTGGATCACAGGTATACTGTGATATGGAGACTGATGGTGGTGGATGGACTGTATTTCAGAGAAGAGAAGATGGATCTGTTGATTTCTATAGGAACTGGACTGAATATGAGAATGGATTTGGTGACCTTACTGGTGAGTTTTGGTTAGGATTGAGCAAGATTCATCGACTAACTAAAGGAGGATCAAACACACTAAGAGTGGACCTGGAAGACTTTGGGGAGAACACAGCTTATGCTAAATTCTCCACATTCAGTATTGGTGATGGTAGTACTGATTATACACTAACAGCAGAAGGATACTCTGGTACTGCAGGGAATAGTCTGTTCTGGCATAATGGAAGGAAGGAGATTCAGTACGTATGATAATGATAATGATCTTTCATCAAGTAACTGTGCTCAGAGAAAATCTGGTGCTTGGTGGTATAGGGACTGTGAGCGTGCAAATCTTAATGGTCTTTATTATAATACTCAAGTAAATAATGGTAAAGCCATCACTTGGCAGCATTGGAGAGGTTCCAATAGCCTCAAGTTCTCAGAGATGAAAACTCGTCGCAACAATTAAATACTGTCCCCCACACAGATAAGTGTGTTTACATTGTGCTGATATATTATTATGCCATTTCAATATTACAGTCTGTCCATAGATTCGGTCTGTCATACCTTAGGCTTGTAGTGATTATACTGAATAATGTTGTTTTATTAATAAAA